GTTGAGTATCTTTCGAGACCAAATAGTTCCAATGTTATATAAATTGTTTCAGAGCATATGAAATGAAGACTTCCAAATATTTTTTATAAAGCAAATATAACATTGATACCCGAAGACAGCACATAAATAATAAAATATAAACTATTACCACTTATAAATATTGTTATAAAAATTCTAAAAAATTAGCAAATAGCCTCCAACACCACCCTAAGAAAACAGTTCACTCTGACCAAGTGAGTTTTATGCCAGGAATATATGAACAGTTCAGCATTAAGAAATATATTAATATCATTTACCTTATTAATAGATTTAAGGAGAAAGATTGTATGATTATTTCCATAGATGCAGAAAAAGCAAATTCATCAACCATTCCTTATAAAAACACTTGGGAAAATAAGATTAGATGAAAACTTTCTTAATATTTTAAATTATATATTATAAAAGCCAGTGTTTTACTTAATGTAGAAATACTAAAAGCATTCCTACTAAGGCTGGAAACAAGGGTAAGGATGTCCTCTACGGATGCCCACTAGTTTTATGAGTGGTATTAGCCAATGAAATTAGATAAGATAATTAGAGGATAAGAATTTGAAAAGAATTAAAACTATGTCTATTTGAAGATGATATATAGCATACCTGGAATACTTCAGAGAAGTATAAAGTAAACTGAAACAAAAACTAACATAACAAGACAGCAGGATATAAAATATGCAAAGTCAAAAGCCCTCAGATACATAAATAATGCCAGCTAGAAGATAAAATGGAAGGAAAAAACCTCATTTAGAATGGCAACAAAAAAAGATAAAATACTTAGGAAAATACTTTATTAAAAAAAATCTATGAAGAAAATGACAAAACTACTGAAAAAACACAAAAGTATACTTGAACAAATAGAAATTCATCCTTTGTTCTTGAATAGGATTTCATCATCATGAAGATATCATCAGTTCTAAGTTAATTTATAAATTTAATAAAAACGCAATAAAACATAGCACCAGGATTTTTTTTCTAGAATTAGAAAAGTTGAAACTAAATTTCAATCTCAAGTCAGTTTGCCAATTTGACACAAAACCGTGACTTACAGAA